CTGTACTCTGAAAATTCTTATACATTGCAAGTGTGGTTTCTTTCTATGCAGTCAAACCTTATCCCATATACCTCTGTACAGTTTTTAATAAATACCTGTTTGGGAGAAGTTGAAAATACAATTTACATCGCTAGGAAACATATAGATTTCTATAAAAAATCACGGTCCCCCCTCCCTCCAGGCAAACTGACTGTCAGCATAGAGTCTCTACTGATGTTGTCTGCCTTAGTACACACCTACAGGCTGTGTTTAGGCTGTTCTCATTATTTAGAAAGCGCCAACAAATTCCGTAGCACTGTAGTTCTCCTTGGCTATTTCATGTTGCTGTAAGGCACTATCGCCTGTTTCTTAGCATCATGTTTTAGGAAGAACTTTTTTTACAGGTGAAGCTCTTTTACCCTGTGTATATGGCGCAAAGGAGTTTTGCAAGCAATATACACATAATGAGCATTATTAGCCCCACCTGTCTACGCCATCATCTGAACAAGAAGGAATGACGACTGACAAAACTCCATTCAATGGTCTGATGTGCTAGCAATGAAGCCAGCTCATCGGCTTCATCATGGGGGGGCCGGGCCAGACGTAGAGCAGCCACAGAAGGCACAAACAGAGGCAGGACAAAGAGTGACTAATGACGACGCTGGATCAGTTCTGATTTGGTGAGTGTACCTGACACGCGACAACGCTCTGTAGAAGGCAAGTTAAAAAAAAAAACTACTTTGGGCAATTAGACAACAAGGGAAAAGGTTTCTTTTTCAACAGGTAGAAACCCACACCTCTTTCATTTTAGCTCTCAATCAGTTATTGTTGTAGCTCTGTCCTTTGCATCTTACAGTCTGCAAGAGAAAATATATAGAAAAAAGGAAAATGTTTCCATTTTTCCTCATTTGCAATGTGTTTCGCCATGCAAAGACCAAGCAATTCTGGTGCCAATTGCAAAATATTTAATATAAATTTTAAAATAAAACACTATAGCATATGACAGAACTATAACTTTTAATCAGTGGTGTAATTATCAGAAAAGTGATAGTTCTAATGAATTTTGAATCATTTATGCTTTTACATGATGACTCGCGAGCTATCATATGATCTATATAAGGCGGAGCTGCTGCTGGTCTTTTAAATGGTTTTAGATTAACTGGGGGGGAATGGTCTTTATCATGAGTTAGTTGTGACTTTTCTAATAAGGTTTTACTTTGAGGATACTTGTTAGTGGCTTGGCTGATCAAAATAGATTTAACAGACCCAAGACGAAATTGAACAAACTAACATTTTTACTGTGCAATTATTCACTATATTATCTGTTAAGTTTCACAAAAAATGTTAATGCTCTGCATAAGCGATTCGTCTTATGTAAAGTGAGATTTCATGTTAATGTTAATGTTACTGTGAATTTGACAGAATTTCATATTAGCAGGGAATGGATATTGCTGTATATATAGTTTGTAAATGTTTTAGATTTACTTTTGAATGGGCTGGCTACAGATTAAAACAGGTAGCACTCTCTGCTGTCGTTACGTTATCACATGCTATAATCCATAGATTGATCCATTTGGAATAATCTCTTGGAACCTACTGGGAGTGCAGCATTATTTGTGAAAAATTTCTGCCACGTGTCAGAATTAGAATGAGCGTTTAATAAATACTGGGTTCTGTTATTATATTTCTTCTTTTTACTCAAATCCTAAACAACATAAAAAAACATACCATAAAAAAAAAATTGTGTGGATAACTAAGCCACCTGCAGGTAGGTATACAACTTTAATCTATACATTGTGCCCTTTCAGAGATAGCCACATCAGATGATCTGAGAAGATGACCGCTGAGAGAGCCATATTTTTACGACTTTTGAGTACTTACGCTTTAACTGAGCAATTGACTTCACTCCACCCCACAGCCAATCACTGTCCTCTTATTATTAGTACTCTTTCCCAGTTCAGCTTTGAAATACTATACAGATAATCAGAGTACAGTGCTCAAGTCAGCAGCCCAGCTCACATTGGTCTCTTATTGGCTGAGCGGAGTATGTACTCAGAATACAACTACAGGAAGTGATGCTTTGTAAAAATGATTGTGGTTAAGTGTACAGGGTTATGCTGCAAAACTAAACAGACTTTTATAAAGGGAGTGAAATGGCATGAATGAGGCCATAGCCAATCAAATGCACTTAAATTATGTTGGTGCCCAGAGTCTTCCCGTGAACCCAAAAGTAAATAAGAAATTATTAAATAACTATAGCCAAAAAAGAGAAGGGAAGTCATCCGATTTCTACAACCCTCTCCCTCCCCTCCCAAAGAAGTAGTTATAAATTAATTTTAATTTATTTTTCTATTAACAGCAGGGATTTTACAATAAACCTTGAGTAGGGTGAGGACACAATTTATCCGTTATGCACTGAAAAGATTGAGTCATGTTCAAATTTTCTTAGTATATTGATACGGTGGGGTATAGGCAGTTTTTTAGGAAGGATTCCTTCCATATGTATACTGTCTGTTCTGCATTTTACCTGGGAATGCAAGCTTTCGATGTGGTTCCCAAGTGACATCTGTGAAGCTGACTGCAACACATGCTTTTCTGTATGCATAAAATATACGTAGTCTGGAGTGTTAAGCATACTTGACTTTCTAGAGTGTGACCTTTCTTCTATATATATGGTATTAACCATTTTGAATGTGTGCCACTACAAGCAGATGGATACTGTTGTACAGTCTGAGATTGTAGCAGTTCTGTACGGCAGTCCAGCAATGTACTGCTTCATTTTTGAATTTAATTTTTTAAGTTGTATAATTTATTTTCCTTCAAAATAAAAAGAAATGATTAAAGTCTACATGGTGTCCTATTTTCTATTATTTTATCTGTGTTTTGAATAACTTCCTTCAACCTAAGCAGTTTTGTATTATTGGTTGCTGTTTGAATATGTGTAACAGTTTACAGAATGTATTTAATTTTACGTAAATTTTGCTTAGTGTACCCATCAAAAAGTCTTTCTTCCTTTGTTAGTTAAAAATAAAACAAGTGGGGGCAGGGCTTGACCACCATGATAAGCAGTCACATGTCAAAGGGGGCTCCCCACCTAAATCACCCTAATTCCTGCAAATTATCGATCCTGCTGTGCAATCGACTTCTACAGCATCCCCTGGATACCTGCTGGTGCGACTCTGACTATCCGGCAGCGGAGTTCGATCCTGCAAAATCGAGGCTTGACACGGTCTGGTCTGGGAGTGGCGGCCAACTCCTCAGTGAACGGGGGCTGAACTCTGCATCCCCCCACCCCCTCTGGACTGCAGGGGGTTATCCCGGTCCCCACTCCACAGCAGCTGACAAACATACTCACCGTACCTCAAACAGCAGTGTGCTAGGTATCTGAGCCCATAGTGGTGGTGGTCCTGGCGCTTTGGCAGGCATCATCCTGCAATGCTTTCACAGCCAGCGACCCTCTATCTAGGCTGGATGCCCTCTTCCAATGCTTCTAGGAAAACCTCAGGGCTTCTGCCTCAGTTGCCGAGGCTAGACTGGGATCCTCCTGGAGCCTCTTCGTCCTGGAAAAGGATAGGGAACTAGCTCTATTTCCTCCCAGGGACTGGACGACACACAGTCCTGGGAGCTGTAGTCCTTAGAAGGAGTTTTCCCTGCTGAATCCTCCACAAGCTGGAACAAGATGCTGAGCAGGGATTAGCCCATTCCCCCTCCAGTAACTAGATGACACATAGTTCTGGGAGAACAACTGATTTTAATGAGCCAAACCCGGTGTCTGGGAGATAATTGAGTTAAAGATCGGTAAGCTAATTATCTCCCAGGAACAGAGAACCAAACACAAAAATATAAAAGAATCCCAAAACATAATAACATATAATAACTCCACATGTCCTACATCCATTAACAGTCCTGATCTGAGCGACCCTTTCGGGAGCTCCTGCATCCAAAATACGGGGAGCTCTGCCTGGCTCTCAGGAAGCGTTTGTCTCAGACACCTTCCCTCCAAAAAGCGCTCTCCTGGCCAGTCGCTAGGTGGTTCAAAACCCTGGACCAAGTTGTCCAGGAACCGCACGGTCCCTTACTGCCAAAAACAGGTCCATAACATTCCCAGATAAGTACCGCTGAGGTGACCAGGAACCACAAAGTCCTCATGCCGAAATTAGTTCCATAGTGTTCACCCACCTGGCATTTGCCTAGTTTGTTCGATTGACAGTCCAGGCCTGGTCTGAGTGTATAACAGAGCTCCACAGTAATAATACTCTTAGTAATGTGTCTTTAAACTACAATAAATGTGTTTAGAAATTAAATCAGACTGTGTAAATAAGATACATTGTTCTTATTCTACATTACATTTTTGTTACATTAATTATTAGTAAGTCACCTAAAATTTCTCAGAACAACCCTGCCACTGGCCATCCCCCACTCACACCTCTAAAATTAAAGTGCCCTCTTTGTCCATTTGACTAGTTGGGATTTTTGTAATTCACATCACCGTGATTTAATGATTAAACGGTGATAAACTGAAATCTAGATATGCATCATTTGTGCCAAATTGTGACTTTAGAGGACTGGACCCAAGTTCCCAATGTTACTGGCATTCTTGAACTTTTTGTTTGTTTTATTTTAATGTCAGGACTCTAAAGCACAGTAACCCATGCTACTATTGTCTTTTAGAGCAGATACCAGTAAAAAAAAAAAATAATAATAATAAAAAATAAAAAAATAAAAATTAAAAGGGACAATCTATAGCAAATCACAGTGTTTGGGCTATGACAACAGCACATTAACCCTTTGCAGGCCAGTGCCAGCATACTTGGGGTTTGGCCACACAGCTTTCACTTTGCTGTTATTTATTTATAACAGACTGTAGCCAAGCATTGGACCCAGCATGTACCTATGGCAACTCACTGGCATGCCCCTACCAAAAATGGCCGCCCGCTGCTATGGTTACTTCCCTTGGGCAGCGCAAGACCGCACGTGTCAATGACAGCTATCCCCGCCCCCCCCCCCACGCGCGTTCTACCCAATCGGCGAGGGAGGCTGGGCCGAGGTCGGCTTGTGATTGGCTGACGCTGTGAAGCTATGCTCGCTGACTGAAGGTGACTCGGGTAGACGTCGTGCGCGGGCTGAGCTGAGACGTGGAAGATGGCGTTCTGTGCCCCCCATACTGCTGCCAGGCTTGCCCACTCCGCCAGGGTGAGTGACCCACAGCCATATACCGCTCGTTATACTGAGGGGGGCCAGCCTTTACCCATAATGCCTCAGTAATACATTGAGTGAGCCAGTGTGCCAGGATAGGAAGCCACTAGCCACCTTGCAAATCCACTAGCCCTCTAGAAGACCCCCCCAATAATTATTTTATACAAATTTTCTTGGCTCTCCACCATTTTGTCAATGCAGAATAATGTAGTAATGTTCTGGCAAGGGTTTCTTGGCAGTCCCTTAAAGGTCATTTTAGAAAAATAAAGTGAATCTCACGGGATTTAAATCCCAATAAATTCAACAATTATTTTATTGTCACCGCTGATGGGGGAATAAACCCCATTGGTGCTTGCGGATTGAACTCCGAATTGCCTGACATGCTTCGCACCGTTACATGAATAGGGACTCCTTTGAATAATATTATTAGCTGGGTGCCTGACAAATACATTCTGCACATTCCCTTTAACAGATATACGGTCAATAAAAAAAAAAATAATTGCTATTTTATTACGTGTTAACCTCAATTTTATAACTACAACGAATTTTATTTTAAAATATACTAAACAAATGCTTGTCGTTTCCCCCAACTCCTTTTGCTAAGCAAAGAAGCAGTTCTCTACAATAAGAGCGAGAGAAACATTGAACCAGCTTTGATACTCCTGTGTAAAGAGATCCTTTAATCCCACTGTACAGAGCTATGGAATTTGTTGGCGCTGTATAAATAATAATAATAATAGCTCTTTTAAAAATATTACTTTTCCTTCCCCCCCCAATAAAAGACCCTACACATATTTTCAGGCATAGGCGACTTTTAGTCCTGTAGCTGATGTGGAGTAACCAGCGTCTTATAAAGATAAACCATACGTTTTCACATATTGTAGAAACATCTGAAAGTCATACGGTTACATTGTTTTATATTAAAAGAGTAAAAGTGGAACGTTTGCTTAATGCCCACGAAACATTTTGTCTTCCCTAGCTAAGTGCAAGGAAACTGAACTGCCTGAAGACACTAATACTTACTCCTTGCATTTTTTCCCATTGTCCTATCAAACCACTTTTTAGTTAATTTGCATGTGACTAGGGTCTCTCTGACCCATAAGGGTAATCCAGATGTTTACCCCCAGCTATATCTCACTGACGATGTACAGAGGACCAGTTGAATTTCTGTATCCCATGTCCAAAGGTGATTGCCGTTGTAGGTGGAATCCAGAGTAGGGACTACCTGAAGGGCAATCAGGCCCAGTTTTCATCTGTTTTCTCTTACGGACAGTTTTAGTTTATTTGTAATACCGGTAATTACTCCTCTTCGTATATTGCTGACAAGATAAAACTTCTAATAGCAGTATGTATAAAATACCACTGTGTTTATACAATACTCTGTAGGCATCGCAATCCGTAATCTAAATCCTTGTGTTGCCAAACAAATGGTTACAACATTCTGTTACAAGCAGTCATTGAGGAAAATATTTTAGTACAGTTTACATTATCCATTTTCATAACTGTCTGTGAGCATGTGTAATAAAATCGGTTTTCTGGCAGCTTCTGTAGTGGAAGAGGCCAGAAAGTGAATTTTATTACATATGTTCCCAGACCGTTTGGTCAAGTTGCCCTTTGTCCTCGTCTTTTGGTTGGCACTGCTTACTGGCATGTTCCAGTGACCTTGGCACATTTTTACATTATTGAATAATTGCTGGAGGAACAGACCTGAAGTGTAATGAAAGGTTAACAGTTTCAATGCTTTGTTAAGGCAGAAATAAACGGGATTGTCCTTGTGAGGACCCTGGTCAGGCAAATGTTACCATGATGCCCTCATGTGCCCTTTGTCTCAATAGGATTACATTTACCATGTATTAGAACTTTGTAAGTTATTTTTTTAAGATTTTTGTTTTGTTTGTTTTTGTGTTTGCCACATTTATTCTGCAGGATTAATAGTTATTTAGTAACTAAAAAAAATAAAAAATAATAATTGTGTATTGGTCTACTGATCCTGCTTTTTTCAATGAGCATTTAGTTCTCAAACGAAAGATCTTTTATTTATTTTTTTATCTTGTAATTATTTTCTCATTTATCTCCTGTTTTTATATTAGAGACACCTTGCCTCTCTGCATTTTAATGAGGATTGTCCAAAATAAGAAGCCTTTGCACCTAAGAACATGTTTGTGTAAAGTAAAGAGATCCGTTTGGGTAGACTCTTTGTTCAAACTTCTCGAACATGTCACAGTGTCTTTAATTATCTTTTTTTTTTTTTTTTAAATGACACAACTGCAGTTTTAAAATGTAATTATACAGTCTACGAATTATAGCCATTTCATTGTTTGCTCTCAATATAGATGCTATTCTGCAGATTTCTCGTTGTTTACAATGCAAGACATAGGATAAGTAATCTGAATCTGTTCTATGTGAAATTACTGTTTGATTGTACTAGACTGGAGCATAGGTCGCCAGTAACCGAATATCCAGATGTTGAACTCTAACTCTTCTAATCTTGGGCCAGTACTTTGAAGGACAGACGATTAGTGACAATCTTGTTATTGTGTTTTTGGTTTTTATGTTTTGTTTCCCCCTCAATTGCATAGCTTTGCATTTTATGTGTCCAGATGTAATAGAAAAACTGACTTTATTATATATATTACATGTTACAGCCATCATCCGTATGCAATGCTAATCTTTTGGCAAGCATTTTTTACTTGATATTGACACTCTCTGTGTCAGAATTAGATTGTGATCAGATCCTTGGTATATCTGTAGCTAGAAGCTTGAAAGCAGTTAGTATTATCCATAGGCCTTATTTACAGGGACAGATGAGTAGAAAAGGTTAGTATTTGCTTTACATTTTATGAAAAGGGTTAAACCGATCTTCATATTAACGTATTTATGAGCAGAGATCTGGACATCACTCTACACGCAGAGTGACCTACTACCGGTGAGTGAGTGCTAACTACAACAACCTATCCTGGCTTCTTTTTCAGTAATGGAGCAGACCGTTTAGCAAAGGTTTGTAATCTTTCCAAAGTTCTGTTTTAGAACACTGCATTGGAAAAATTCCAGTAGTTCCTTGGCTCTCGGCTAGCTGAGTCTGTCTGTGACTTGTGATAAAATTGAACACATGTGCGGATGTTTCTGCTCTGCTCTCTATTTTGTGCGTTCCGTGCTTTATGCAATCTGTGTGTGCCAGTGTTTACTGGCATCTGCTCTGCGTAGTTTGCCTTGCAGTTCTCCTATCGATCTGTGTAGTACCTGTAATACAGCCAAGATAACGAAATTCTATTGCTGTCAAAGACCTTTTTTAGGAAGCAGCCAGTAGTCTGAGTAAATACACCTATTTACTTTTTTTTTTTTTTTTTTTTTTACAGAACTTGAGCCCCGAGGTTAACAGCCTGTTGTACGAGGATTCAGTGTTAAACAAAACTATCATGAGTTAGATCTTTTTTTAATTGGAGAAGGGAATTTTATTGACATTACATTTATTTCTACACAATATTCACCAAACAAAAATTGTGGAGTGTACACAGGAGTACCGACAATAATGCAAGAACTGTACTAAAATGTTAAAATCCTTTATTCCATGTACAATGCAGAAAGTTACAGGTGTTGTGGCCGTGAGACAAGTCCTACACTTCAAGTTTTGCTAATATTGTTGTAAATTTAGGTTTTATTGACATAAAGAACACCATAAGAGAAACTAAATCAATTTTGTATGCAATAATTTAAATCTTTTCTAATCCGCCACAGCGATAGAGGAATTAATGCAACAAAATGAATAATTACAATAATTCTGAATTGTGTGGATTTTTATTTTTAAATGTAAATTAATTATTTTATTTCTTATTTATATTTTTAATGCATGTACAATGATAGGTTATCAATTTTTTTTTATTAAGACTTTAGATTTGTTTGGAACAGAAAAAAGAGAAGGAGTTAGGGAATATTACATTACATATGTGTATCACAGCTTAAGACCATAAACTCCTAGTAATAACTGCCTCATTTTTAGTTAAGTAACACAAAAGTATAAACATGGTATGTAGTTGTCAAGCCCAGTAACAAAAGTATACTAGTAAACATAACTAGATAAAGCTGGCTTAACCACATGGATTTTTAGGTATAACATATTCTGACACAAGGAGGAACTGTCTAGATAAAGGCAATTTAAATCAATAAGATTTAAGCATACAGTCATCTAGAGTGTGTATAAATACAAAAAGAGAAGTCCTGCGCTCACTCCCATCACTACTGGACCGACAGCAATGACTACAGTACACATCAGCCCCAATATATAGTAAAAACCAAAGAAAAAAAAAAGGTTACCTGCGCTCTCTCCTTAATCCCTATGTATATTTAGACAGATGAAGGTTATTTAGTTGCTCCAATGGCTATTGGAGGGAATGCCCGCCTGCCACCATCATGGCAACTACATTACAATATTTTCAGAAAAGGGCAGTAAGGAAATTCACACAAAAGTTATAGTATATTTATAAAAAAAAACACACAATCACAGATTAGGTATCTATCCATAGAGATCATAAAGAATGTCTGATCCAAATTGTTTCTATAGAAGTTCCCTTGTACAGACTAGTAATTCATAAATGCTGATACATTTCTAAAGTAACATTTAAAGTTAACCTTCCTATGTACGTATGAGTTTAAAATCCTAACCTGATAAAAAAAACAAAAAAAAAAAAACACACATTTTTACTTTTTCCAAGGTAATTCTGATTCTCGGACACCTAGAGAGGATTCTCAGAGCTGACTGACCTTGCATTCACTAAACTAACTACAAATGTCATCAGTACAAGTATGGAAAAGTGTTCAGCTTGCATGGAAAGGGAAATGACAGAAAACGAATACAATTCTAGCTCAAACTGGTTTACATGCAAATTGCCCATACCACTGACACCCCCATAGAAAGGAGTAAAACCATTTTGACATCTTACTCAGTCTGCTGGGCACTGCTCCCTGTCTCCACTACAGCTCAGTGAGAGCCGGAAGCTCTATTCATTGCGCTAAGCCCGGTGTGCAACCACATTATATTCTTAACTGGCTTGGTTACAGAGCATCAGCATCTATTTAACATGTATCTCTGAAATCTGATAAAACACATTCTAGGCTGACAATTCTGCCTCTTTATTATTCATTCTACTTCTGCAGGTTTATATAGATGACTTTTGTCCTTTTTGTACAGTTTGGTCAATGAGCAAGTCAGCAGAAAGTATTTAGAATTAAAAGCTTCCATTATCACTATCGCATATTTTGGGGGGTGAGGGGGGAGTCAACTATTTCGAGAGTGACATCTTTGTTACTTGTGTTTTTCTACCTAGGCATTAAAATATGCACACAGAGGCTACGCATCCCAACGCACTATTAATGTAAGTATATAGCATGAGAGAGTTCCTACCATTCAACTATGTCATTTTAAATCTATATATTCATAAAAATCTTGGCCTACACAATGTGTAGGGGAGGAGGGAGGGTAGATGAATATGTTGGACACCTCTTCCCTGGTGATTCTCAAGTGTATGTATGTAACATGAGTTTTAAACCCAATGGCATTGTTTAATTCTGTGCCAAGGTTAGTTACCATTCCTTTGGGACAAGGTCATAGTTGGAACATTATGTCTGTAACTCTTTTTGGATGAGCCATTTTTGTTTATGTTAATAATCTTCTAATATTTTTTATTTTTCTTTGTCATTTGCCGGACTAGGAAGTGGTAATAGCAAGCGCAGTAAGGACCCCGATTGGGTCATTTCAAGGGTCCTTGTCATCATTACCTGGAACCAAACTTGGCTCTATAGCCATCAAAGCTGCAGTTGAGAGAGCAGGTATGTTCGCGTTTACAATACACTTGGCAAGATCATTCACTATGTATGAAGTCTTGTTCTGACCTTTCTGGAAGTATGACTGCTGTACTCTTAAACCTGGAGGTAATATTGCTGCAAGGACTATTAATTTAACTCTTCGTTTTTAAGGTATTCCCGCAGATGAAGTGAAAGAAGTATATATGGGCAACGTGATCCAAGCAGGACAAGGACAAGCACCCACACGCCAAGCAACACTCGGAGCAGGTGCTTTATGCAAATACCTTGTGAATTGATAATTAAACAGAATCAAACTTTAATATGTTGTTTTGGAGTGGCTCTGCAAATAGAAAAAAATGAAAAGTCAAAGAACAAAATAGAACCGCATTTCTTCCTTCTTTTAGAGGTCACAATCCAGGGAGAAATAAAACCTTTCTAAATGTCCTCGGCTAGCTGTTTATTTTACTGGAAATACAGGATTAAAGTGGAGTTTTGCACAGTTATTTTATGTATTTGTTTTTGAGAAACAAAGCATGGCTTTTTATGCACTAGGAATGTAACAAACATCAGGGTACTACTTAGGGATACAATTACCGGCTGTCAAAGTAGTATTTCATTTTTTGTTTGTGCCCAGAGCTTTCTGTACAGAGTTCAAGCACAATGTAAAAAAGAACATTGAACAGTGAATTGCATAATTATTCCTCCACAATCATTTATTCCAGTGCTATAATAGCTCATGACTAATTACCTTACTATAACACTGATAAATAAAAACAGATTTTATAACCAGATTGTGAACTTGTCACGTGTGTCTCTAATAGGAACTTCCCATATATATATATATATATATATATATATGTGTGTGTGTGTGTATGTATATATATATATATAGTGTGTGTGTGTGTGTGTATGTATGTAAAAAAAAATGTAATTTTTTTTTGACATGTCTACTGGAAACCTCTCATGCTTGCGTGTCAATATTTCCCAGCTCCGAACACTAGGCTTTAAGCATGTACGTATATCAGTTTTGCGCCTTGCACTGTACTCACTGTACCCGTCCTTTATTGTAGGCCTGCCAATTTCAACACCTACTACCACCATCAACAAAGTATGTGCTTCAGGAATGAAATCCATTATGTTGGCAGCACAGAACCTCATGTGTGGAAATCAGGTTATTTTTTTTTTTTTATTTTTTTTTTTATATAGCGCCATCAGATTCCGTAGCACTGTACAGTGGGATCAATATGTACTTTACTACTTTTCCTGGCAATTTAGAATAAAACATTCTAATAGACACAGATTTTAGGAAACAGTGCGTCAGAAAGTTAGAGAAACCAGTTGGCTATAAGTTTTTGTTATTTGGAATACTACTTAAATCTCTCCATAACGTTGGCATTTATCCCATGGTGCTACCTCTAAGTGCCTGTAAAGTCTAGTTAATTCTTCACCATCTATTTAAAATTGTATAAATAATTAAATGGAATGCCACGTATTCTTAAAGTTCACTTCAACTACACCTGCACTCTATTTTTGTAATTTTCTTGAAAAATAGTTTATGGGGTCAGATACGAACATTAATGCATTTATTATAAGATCATTTTAATATATACTGGATATTACCAAAAGCCACAATGGAATAACTGTTTGAGTACTGATACTTTTGGGTATTTTGTTGGGACAGGACGTGATGGTTGCTGGAGGAATGGAGAGCATGTCCAACGTGCCTTACTGCATGAGCAGAGGAGCAACACCCTACGGAGGAGTGAAGCTGGAAGACCTTATTGTGAAAGATGGCCTGACTGATGTGTACAACAAATTCCATATGGTATGTTTTAACCATAGTGCGTGTGAGATACAAAGGTTCATTCACTGGAAAACAAATGGGTGAAAATTGAGAAACACATTTGAAAGTTTAAGCAAAAATAGCTGATTTGGAAAATTGTGCTAATAATCTTTAGTCATAGTTTGCCTATTTTAATTTCAATTTAGTAATTCTGTTTTTTGTGTCACCGCCATTTGTTGTTTAGTGTATAAACTCCCAAAGTTATTGTAAATATTGTTAGCGGTTGATCTTATTTTTAACTGTAAGAAAGTAGCTGCCAAACTGGTGCTATTTAGGACATTGTTGTCCCCATATACACAATATTAAGTATTTTAAGAAAGGCATGCATGACTTAATATATCACTTGTTTACAAAGCTTACATTCTAAATAGGTCTATTAAATACCTGTAAAGTGTTGATTACTCCAACATAGCAAAAGGAAAACGACTTCCAAGAATAATAGAAGCATAAAGGCACACTCAAAGCCGGAGTTGACCATATATTTTTCTATGCTTTATGTAGATAAAATTTGCATGCAAAAACCGTAAGATACAATTAATAAAGCAGTTTCTGCATTTGCTGGAAGTTTTGTATCTTCTGCGGTGAGCTCTTCTGCAACGAGGAAGCAAACAAGTGACTAAAGCTATAGGATATAAATTTAGAGCAGTTTACTTAAAGAAAACTGTCTCAATATTATCTGTACAGGGGAACTGTGCAGAGAACACTGCTAAGAAGCTCAGCATTCCACGAGAAGAACAAGATAGTTATGCCATTAGCTCTTACACCAGAAGTAAAGCCGCCTGGGATTCTGGGTTACTTGCAAATGAAATCACACCTGTTACCATTTCACAGAAAGGTACGTAGAGGACATTGTGTGTTACGTGTTTGTACTCAACCTGCCTCATTCATTGTGTATATATTTTATATATAAAGTTGGGTTGTAAGAGCCACTCGGTATTGCATACATCAAAGTTTAAGGGTGAAACTACTGAGGGGCAGTAGATGGCCACCAGGAAGATATGCGCTGCTTCTTTGGGAAAATACATTCGGCATTAATTTCCCAGTGAGGACTACAGTAAAACAGAATTCAGACTGTGCCCGAGAAAGGGTCTAATGGGAGGGCAGCTGCTCATTCCATATAATGCAAACATGGGTTTATCCTGTTGTCAGACGTAACCTCTGCTTTGGGGCCAGCCATTGTTATCCCTCCCCAACCATAATACCCACAGCATAAAACTGTACCCTATAACATTTTAAGACGTACCCTGTAACATTTAAAAACTGTACCCTATAACATTTTAAGACGTACCCTGTAACATTTTAAGACATACCCTGTAACCTTTTAAAACCGTACCCGGTAAAAAAAATTTCTTCAAGACTAATATTCATGAGTCTAACCCATGCCAGTGGTCAACAAGGATGTAACAGAGACACTGGACTGGCAGAAACCATTAAGCTTTCATAGAAATGTATACATAAAAATGCATAAGTCTATCCTAGAGAACATGTGTATGATGGGGATTTGTAAATCTGTATTGAAATGTCTCTTATAGGGAAACCAGATATTATTGTTCAAGAAGATGAAGAATATAAACGGGTTGACTTCAGTAAAGTTCCAAAACTCAAGACCGTTTTTCAAAAAGACAACGGTAAGCTGTATTGCCAAAGATGAATATGTTCAATATACTTCATTGCCAACAGCTAATACATTGATTGTTCTAGTTTACGCCCTCTACATATTAGTCAACATAATTCCATATGACTATCAGACAGTGCCAGGCTGGCAGACCCAGAGGAAATGGGTAGGGGCTGTGTCCGCTTTTGCCCGTGGAACTGTCTTATAAACCAGAACCGCACAGCAGATGACACATTTAATTCTTGACTTCTCAACCAGTAAGAGTATTTAAAATGTAACAAAAAATAAAACCTTACTAACAGTCATACAAAAACATATTTGGATTTACACATTGTTTATGGGATCTCTACTGACTATATTTAAACTATCAAACACAATTTAGTTTTAATAAGAATGTTAGGAGTATGTCATCACTATAATACCCCTCCCCCCCCCCCCAAACTTCTTACTGAAATCTGAATCTGTTCTGTTTTAGAAAATGTATTTATTTTGTAGCATGCGTACACCTACAGAGCGTGCTGTCTTGTCATATTAATCTGTAAGTTCTATCCATTGGTGTCTCTGTTAAACTTGTGATTTGTATGTGTGATTTCAGGGACTGTTACAGCTGCTAACGCCAGCACGTTAAATGATGGGGCTGCTGCTTTGGTTCTGATGACTTCAGATGCGGCTCATAAACTGAATGTTAAGCCACTAGCAAGAATTGTAGGTTTGTATTTAAAATTTATTTTATTTAAAAAATTATTATTTTTTTTTTAATATGTTTCTTACATGTTGTGTAACGTTTAGCACTGACACGAGCCACTGTAGCCATCAATAAGCTACTATTTCTTCAGTGCTGAGCTTTCATACCAACATGTGCACACTTTCTATTGAAACACACACAGGAAGGAAATATCTGGTGGGTGCGACTCTACGTATATAGGAGAGTAACAAGTCATTCGTTCCCTATGGCTGAAATAATAATTGGAAACCGCTGCCCACATGGCCCTTCAGGAGTTTAATTAATTTGCACGTGTTCTGGTTGTGCCAGGAGAGGCACACAGTGTAAAAAATAAACATGTATATTTTTTTTCACACAAAGACCCTTAATATATCATCCAGCTCTTTACATGTGAACCCTTTAGTGAATAAGCTGTGAGTCTGTCACCAGTCAGGTCTTATTCTAGTTCCCATGTGGAATTTGAATAGAGAAAGCCGTGTGTGGGTTAGAACGCATAGCCTGACATGTTAGAGTTCAGTTTAAAAGAACAAATTTCAGGAGTGCTGGTGGCAACATTTTTATGTGAAATGAGAAATCTCTATTTTGCTTTATTCATCACTGATACAACAAAAAGGGTTCACTTTCCCCTTTAGGCTTAGAGCTTCAGTCCCCACTGCTACCTCCATCCTGGGTTTTATAACTGAAGCCCTGTGCTAACTACAGCATCTTGTGAGCAGATCTGAAGACAATCTACTTTGACAGAGACCTTTTTTTTTTCCTTACCTACCCTCTAATTCTGCTGATGTTACTACCTTGGCTCACTCTGCAGATTTAAATGCAGTAGGCACAGACGTTTTGTTTAATTGCTGTATACTTTGTTATTCTAGGGCAGGGATGGGCAACCTTCGGGCACTCCAGATGTATTGGACTACATCCCCCATAATGCTCTTACACCCATAATACTGGCATAGCATCATGGAAGGTGCAGTCCAAAACATCTGGAGTGCCGAAGGTTGCCTGTGCCTGTTCTAGGGTATTCACTGAGAATAACCCAAAATGGATTAGAAGTGCCCGGCCAAGTTAGTTTAAATTTAGTTATCCACGACTTGTTGCATAACGAGGGCAACCAAGACAAACTGATTTGACTGTGTAGTCACTAATGGAATAGTAGCAATTAATATTAACAGGATTATGTACTAAAATGAGAAGGTTAAAATAGCTGAAAGGGAAAAATTCTCTAAGTCTGCTATGCTATCAGTTTGACTACTCTGGCCTTAAATTTGAAGTTTGTTTTGAATTCTCACATTAGTAAATACTGACACTGAGGTAGGGTACATACTTTATTTAAATGTATATTTTCTATTTAACAGCTTTTGCAGACTCTGCTGTAGACCCTATTGATTTCCCAATCGCTCCTGCCTACGCTGTTCCCAAGGTAATAAGAAGCTCATTTAATTTATTTATAAAAAAAAAAAATTGGCTTTGGAAAGTACATTAAAACTATTTGTGTCTTCAGACTAAAATGAACTTACTGCTATCTGCACCTTGTATTAATGTATTTAACTACATCGTAAAATAGGCATTGAAAGCCATGTTTCAGTGTTTGCAGATGACACAAAACGCAGTAAAATAATAAAATGTGAGCAGGATATTGCTTTGCTGCAGAGAGATTTAGATAGATTGGGGGACTGGGCACTCAAATGGCCGATATAATGTAATGTAGAAAAATGCAAAGTTATGCACTTTGGGGTAAAGAATGCACAAGCAACTTACACCCTATATCAAGGGTTCCCAATTAATTTTCCCGTGGTATCATTTGACATAATGCGCTAACAACGTGGAACCCTAAAAAAATGTTTGGTGCCATAGCGCAGATAGTAAACAGATAGTAGTACTCAGGAGCAGGTGTGTTTTTTGTGTGTACAGTTACATGGTGTTTGTATATAATGTTAGCGTTATCATACAGGGGTGTTTTTGGATGTTGTGTTGGTGTTTGATTGCTGGGATGTATGCACGTATGATTGTCTCTGTATGTACGTGCAATACAGACAGCAAACAAATTAACACACAGAAACACAAATAAAAACATTGACACATACACACACACATTCATATACACAGTGACATACTTTCTTTTGTTTCTAAGGTTCTGGATTATGCAGGTTTGAAGAAAGAAGACATTGCCATGTGGGAGATCAATGAGGCTTTTAGTGTTGTTGTCCTTGCCAATATTAAAATGCTGGGAATTGACCCAACTAAAGTCAACATTAATGGAGGAGCTGTCTCCCTTGGACATCCCATAGGGTAAGTGAATAATATAGATTTGTAAAGCTATAGATTTGGTTCTAAATTGCACAAGCAATCATGCGACTTTGGGAGAACCTCTGCAGATGGTATTTGATTCAAACTGAAATAAAATGCAAAGTAAATCATAAAAAAAAGGACAATTAACAAATATTTAGCTTTTAGAATAAGTCATACACTCTGAGATTGCTGTAGTGTTTGGGGCATTGTACATTGATATAGGGCACTTTTCGAATTATATGTTTTTATTTTCTCCACATTAAAATTTCTCAGCACCTTTGAACCCAGCATATCCTTTTTTGTGCCTTTTTGCTGGTGTATATTCTGATTGTTTAGTGACCCTGTGATTTTTAAGCACTCTTCTCTTTTAGTGGTGTTGAGTACCCAATCCACATTACAGAATTTTTTCTCCATCTTAATCTACCACAAAGAACTAACAGTCCAGATGTTCCCAGCAGGCCATCGTAGAGCAGGTTTGCCTGACCTGTATGTGGTTAATAAATGACACTCTTTCTCCTGTCTGCCTCTCTAGGATGTCTGGAGCGAGAATTGTCGGTCACATGGCCCATGCGTTGAAGAAAGGGCAGTTTGGACTTGCTTCAATTTGCAATGGTGGAGGTGGAGCCTCTGCGATCCTGATTGAGAAGCTGTAGAGTTCATCGCTAAAGACTTTCTGAAATCTTCTACAAAGGAGTGCGGTCACAACCTCTACGCTTGTCAGTTCATTACAACTTTTTTTTGAGTGGATAAAGCTTTATTTGTTTTCATAACATGTCTGCTCTACAAGGGTTTCTCTACACTACGAAAACGTCTGCGCTGCAAAGCCATCGCTGCTGCATTGCATCTTCTCTGCTATGCAAGGGCTTCTCAAGTCTGCTAAGATTTCTTCAAGGGTTTTTTTTTTTTTTTTAAAGTGTTTTTCTAATCTGTACACAGTCATTATTCATTATTTAAGAACTGATGGCAGACAAATCATTCTTTGAATGATTACACAATGCTTGTGGGAACATATAGCATTATTTTGTAATCTCACACAGTAAACCTGATTTTGGAAGAAATCCTTTGAGTCCATGATCTGTTTTTATAAGAATTTAGTTGAGCATTCCTTTAGTCTCTGTTCAAATTGCAAACTAACAGGGTTATTCACTAAACAGTGATTTGTTAGGAAAAGAAAATTTTGGCTGTGGCTTTTTGTCTAAAATTTGAAATGCCCTTGTTAGTGTCATGAATTACTGGTTTGGTGAATAACCCTAAGTGTGTCTAGTATCAGTTGCCATTTATTTATTTTTATTTTTGAGGACTGTATATCTTCTCCACTATGGTGGGGGTTTTTTTTTTTTGTGTGTGTATGTATGCTTAATTTTCCTCTCATTTATTTTTTTTGGTGACAGAGCCATTCTGGTCATGTTTTTGAAAATCATAAGTGTTTTTTTTTTTTTTTTTTAAACTCACTATAGTTAGAATACTGTGGCACATGTTTTTAATCTGAATCCTAATGATGACAAAGTCCCATGGTTGTATTCTCTTTAACAAGTTATCTTCTCCTTTTGTCACATGCTCTTTTCTTGACCCAAACATTGAATCACGACAGCCGGAGTGCAAAATCTTAATATACAGAGGAGTATGAAATGAAAGCTATGGGTCTTCATGAGTACATGCACTGATCAGCCACAACATTAAAACCACTCACAAGTGAAGTGAATAAAATTGATTAAATTGTTACAATGGCACCTGTCAAGGGGTGGGATGTATGAGGCGCAAGTGAACAGTCAGTTATTGAAGTTCATGTGTTGGCAGCAGTAAAAATGGGCAAGCCAAAAGATTTGAGTGACTCTGACAAGGGCCTGTCTCCTGAACTGGCGAGCACACATGGCTGAAGTCTATCTGCGGCCTCGTTGCCCCTCCCCCCACGACCGGTGGGGGTATTACCAGTCCACACTGGAGTGCTGATCTGCTTAAGACCGCAATGGCAGACAAACCCGGAAAGAGAAAAATGGTCCGCGTGCGATCCAAGAAGGCCGACTGAGCTAAACCACTCACCATTCAGCCGCTCCTATCAAGGGCCTTGATAGATGTAACTGACCGTTTTGCACACAAGAGGTTAAAAACCGTTTAGGTGATATTCCCCTTTTCAGAGGCACAGACAGCTACTGCAATCACCAATCTCCCAAACTGCAAACACATGAATTCACCAATCTCCCGAACTGGAACCAAGGGAATGCTCCAAACGCCCGAACAGGAAACACACGAATGCTGTAAACAGCCGAACAGGAAAAACCATATGAACAGTTTACACTCCTGGCACTCGCACTGTAACAGCATACAATCCAATTCCCCTCAAGAATGAGACGACACTTCGTTTGAGGGTCAAGCAGAACTGATTTACTGGGGCTACCTGCCCGGCTTTTATGCAGGTCTCCCATCTGGTGGACACTCCCCTAGGAGACCAGATGGAAGACTGGGAAACATATTGGACATTGACCAATCACAAGCTTACAATCCCTCCTCTCTGTCCTGGAGATAATTGGGAAGTAATCCAATTATCTCCAAGGACAGAGGCAAAACTCCATTAACCACATGGCAGACAAAGGACAATAAGAGACATTAAAGTACATACTGTTCCATTTATCACATAGGACATACATATTCTACCTATCCCCAGATAGCTTAGATCTGAGCGCACATTACTGCCGGATGGCGCTCAGATCACATACATACAGTTCAATCGCCATGGAGCCAAAGTCTTTCATACAGTCTTTCAGTATACGGCTGGGCTCCATGGCATAGCTATCTGGGGTAGCATGGTTTAAACAGTAAAGTACCGAATGGACTGTTGTTCGGATAATTGACTGCAGGTAGGAAAAGGGAGGTCGGCGGCTCAGTGGTGTTCGTGACTTTAACAGTCCGCAGAAAGGCACGAACCAGCCTTTCTGCATGGAAAAAGAACAGTGTTAAACATGGGATTAGTCCAGCGGCAGGAGGCGGGTGACCAGGCTCCTCCAGTGGCGAGGTTGGTTCCGCCACAATAGACACATGTGGCTCTGGCTATGACAAGAAGGCGGCCTCAACTCTGGCACACAATGGGCCTCCAAGCAAAGCTGCCCGCAACACAAGCACCGGCTCTGCCCAGCACAACAACAACCAGCGGTGTAGCCAAGTCTGACACAAGAGACTGTGTCCGGGTGCAGTTTTGGAAAAGCCGTAGGAGAGCACGGCGAAGTGCCGTTGCTCACCAAAAACCCGGTTCCACCTACAATCTTGGATCTCAGTCCACAGAGGGTGATTCCCGTGGTCACAGCTCACACGTTCGGAGGGTCACACTCACAAGCTTTGAGCCGGGAAGCCATGGCCAACAGGAACAGTGAGTCATGCTCGACTGTGGAAATGTCTGGGGCTGGCGGGGAGCTGGACTGTGGGACATGGCTGGCCCCTTTCTTCGGGGCATACTTGGGGGTGGGATGAGCATAGGCTCAGCGCCCATACTCTGCTTCATCTCCCAATCTGTAATTGCTTAGCCTGGGTTAAACTAACCTTAGACATGCTAAATCTACCACCCTGCACTTGAAGGATAACATGGCCCCTTGGTCACCTCACGTAGCCCTCACTATGCATGCAGTGGCATTATTTTCGTAGCCTAACCTTGTTGCCCTACAAACCCTGAGTAATTGCATAAAAAAGGTTTCTAGCTTTGCAACGTAACTACTCTATCATACTCTTGCTCAATCTTCATTATAAAAAATGTGCAATGTTTCTTCAATACCACACAGCTGTAATACCTTGTTTGCTGATCAGTTTACACCAGCTTTCGTGGCAGTGCAAAAAAATAAAATAATTGCATATGCTGACATATTCTGCAACGCTGTACAATAGGTGGATTAACAAACACGTAGTTGCAACAAAAGGAGGATGCTCCTAGCACTGCCTGAGTGTTTCCAGTACTCCAGCAGACACCATAACCACCGTAGACTCCTTCAGAGACCAAAACAGGAACAAGCTCTTACAAGAGCTTAGTAGTGATTTAGCAAGGGAGTATGACAAGCATAGCAATCTCTTGTAGCAGATTCCCCCAATAAGAGACGGCACTCCAAATTCGCGGGTGAAGTAGAACGGAAGCTTTTAATCAAACACTCTGCTTGTATGCCCATTCTACAACCATAGTACTGCCCACAGGGTTTTGAAGTACAACCAATCAATATGTACAATACACTCAGACACTCCCACACAAAATCCTCTCCTCTGCCTGTGATATAATTACTGAACACAATGGGTTAATGGAATTATCACCAGCAGAGAAATACAGTTTTTACACATGTACTATAACTTTAAAAAAAAATATACATTCAATCTTCATAAAAATGACATTATTATTCAGCACACTTTAATTATAAACAGTCAAAATTCAGCCAATTCCATCCAGGGGCTAAAAAGTTAGCTGTAAGTCCTTTTATGACCAACCGCAAGCACATTTTCATGTCCAAAACAGTTCCAGAGAATCAGGCTGTGCGGCCGGTCTATTTCCCGCGTTAAAGTCCGTTCAAACAGACGAACGACAACCATTCGAATTGTCGAATGCATTAGTTCCAGGGAAGGTAAAACTTCAGCGCTGTTCGTGCCGTTCTGTAGCCGATTTTAGTTCCATGAGTTTGACGGCACACACCGTTGACTGCATTCGAATTAATCAAAATGGCCGCCGGGTGTTCGGTTTTCTAACAGCGGCCACTTCGTCTGCATCCGAAGTGCCATGCCAAAACTGCAGGACCTTTTCCAAAGTACTTAAAGGACCAGAAACAGCACAATAAAATACAATATGCCCAAATACTGTATTTAAAGGGCCAGATCTTCCAGGGACCATAATCACATGGCAAGAAGCTGGCAATCAGTCTTTTCCAATGCCCAGTGGTGTGGTCTGTTTCACCACAGGTGCTAAGGGCCCTGCTGATGCAATCTTTAATTTAAAGGGAAATGGATTAAAATTATACAAAATATTTTTCAAACACAGAAAAAGTTAGTTTACAAGATTTTTTTCATTTGTTTAAAGGGACACTTCACTGCCCAAAATAAATCAAAACCACTGTTTAGTAGATATACACAAAATGAAACCTTGCATGCATTTTTTAATTGGGGATATTTCTAAAATCAGCTTGCAAAACCTGCAGTTCTCTTGTCTTCTGCCTTTCGAAACATGCCCGTTCTAACCCTGACCAGCGTTTCTGTAGCTGTCCAATCACAGACTTCCCAATACTGCTCAATGAGAAGTCTTGTAAGTCAGGTGATCTGGTCAATTGCTGTCTCTTGAGGTCAGCTGCATTGAGGTTAACGAAACCAGGAAGCAACATTTCATGTCTGCTTGAAAGCCAAGAGGGTGTAACCAGGTTAATTTATAAACGTGTAAATATCTATTGAAAGCTGAACTTTTTGCAATATGAAACCAAAGAGGAAACCCTCTTCACACACAAAGCTTTTCAGCAAGCTCAAGTTACTTAGGTGTCTGGAGTGACCCTTTTAATGATACAAAGGATAAGAAACGAAAGTGGTTAATAAGGTGTAGGGAGAAGGAATGATGTTAACTTTAATTGATGTCACTTTTAAGAAGCACATTTTTTTTCTTTCTAGGAATGGAGCCTGGGTTAGAGTAAATAAAATATAAACATAGGTTTATTAAAGAGACACATGTATTTTACTATTTTTGTATGCATTAACCAGTGAACCAAATGTGTAAAAACAAAATACATTGAGTTTTAGAACATAAGTTTGGTGCAAATTCCCCACAGTACAGGACCTAAAGACTGGTGCTCATAAGAGAAAATTGTTTTTTACTTAACATAAATTTCAGCATCCATAATGTGTTAGCTCAGCCTCTGAGGTGTCAGGACAGGAATTCTAATGATTTCATTATTAGGCGATAAAGCCCCCTAACGTCTAGCTTCATCAGCCATGTAACAAAGTTTGAATCCAGACGAGAGAGAGTGTAAGGCAGTCATGGAATATAGCCAGGAAAAGTACTTTACGGAAAGTATAAAATAATGTTCTCTTTTTCTGGCTAATCATGACCGCATGGTACCAAAGGTAGAGAAAGAATTGTTGGCAATGTCCAGTTTGCCGTGCT